ATTAGGATGACTATTAAATAAATAAATATATACCCAACGTCAAGAATTTTACAATTGCCACGCTCGAGAAGCTCGGTTACTGGAGCCGAATAATTACCATTCCATATGTTACGGTAAAGAAAATGCTGTATTTGAAGTCTATCAACTAACAGTACATATAAATGAGTTGAAATTTCGGTTACTTGGAAAGATCTGCACTATCACATGATCATTCAATTATGCACAGCTTCACATAACGATAAGCAAACCTTCTTCGTCATCATTTGGCATTATGTATTTTGAATTTGCATCGTTATGGAATCTTCTACCGTCAAAGTATCGAAAAGCATTTTTGGAAGGTTTTCGAGATCTTAATATTTTCGTTGACCTAGATTTTGAGGATTTATTACCCATTACTCAATTTCTTTTTTAAAACAAAATAGGTGAAAAAAAAAAAAAGAATGCGATAATATTTTTTTAGAAAAGGATCTATTGAGTAAGAAATATCATGACAAAGATAAAGATAAAGGATCTATTTAAATGTGTTTAATGATTATTACAACAAATGCTTATATCAACCTAATAACGTAATAAAAATAACACGCAAAGACCCCAAATTAAGGGTCTTTATAGTTATTTGTTTTGTTATTTTTTTCGGTGAAATCGACATCGATGCTCATCGATTCATTGACTTATCACATAGTAAGCGTGTGAAAAAATAAGTTCATTAAACATCGTGGAAAGACTTCTTATTAAATACCACGTTGGGAAATCAATGACTACTCAAAGTCAATAGAAACCTTCCAATATTCGAACTGTATAGGTTCTTCATTAACGTAATATGTTTATAATAAAATTATGGGTTTTTTTTTTTTTTTTTACAGAAATATGCGACTTTCTTTGTAGACAATAATGAATAAATATTTAATCTTTCCGTAATACACCTGAATGATCATATTTGTTTAAAAATTTATTGTCTGATTTTTAAAGAAAACTATGGTTACCAAAAGAAAAATGATTGGCTAAGTCAATTGAGGTTACATAATATTTAATGGGATTATCGTTATTCCACATGCAGAAAATTCATTTTTTGAGCCGTTAATTTCTGCAAATTCGCACCAATAAAGTTATGTCTATCATTACTATTAACAGTTAGAAAATAGCTATTCTGTTCAAATGATAGATATGTTTAATAAGAATTAATCAGTCAAACGATTTAATTTTTTATTAATGGCTAAATTTAAATTGATTGAAACTTTTTGCCAAATATATATTCGAATTTATCATAAAAAATTCATTACGTACTTGGCGAATTCCGAAAATCTTAAGTTTTATTATTAAATTAATAATAATTTTAAATCCTAA